AATCCGGATCGGTTTTTTGGAAGCCCGATCCGGGACACCGATCCGTTTTTTAAACCATTGGCTATAAGGATTCGGATGGATGGAAATTTGACAATAGGAAAAAGTTTCATCATAATCTATCCCTTCTTTCTGGGTGAAACCCCTTTGCAACCAACCTAGCTTTGTAGTTTTCTATTTTCCCTTCAGAGTTCAACTTTTTCTTGAAAATCTACTTACAACCAATGGCGTTATGTTTTTCAGGTAAGGATACTAATTTTCATACATGGTTTTAGTTAATGGAAGCATACTTATCTTTCATAGCTTCTACCCAGTATTCCCTTTCAGGACAGGTCAAGGTTTCACGGTTAGTTTTAGGTTCTGAATCTGAATCTTCCCCAACCTTATCAAAATGTTCTCCTAGGTAGACAAAATGTGCTAAGTAAAGAGGTGGTCTACTGACTCGGTTACTTCGTCTTGGTTAGGGTAAAGGTTCACTTTTTTTAGGGAGTTCAGAAACAGGTTGGGTTGATTTAGAAGTTTCAAGTTCAAGATCTCGAACTACATCCTTGTTTTTGGCCTCCTCATAAAAGTCAACTTGTTTTCTACTCACCGTTGCTAACTCTCCTCGAAGAAGTGAGAATCGTGGCTTTCAATAACCTCACATGTTTCAAGGTTGTAGAATCGATAGCCCTTACCATTATATGGGTAACCAATGAAAATGGTTTTGACTATTTTGAGTTGCAATTTGGTTCTATTTTGATGTGGGATAAAGACATGGGTTGAGCAACCCCAAACTCTCAAGTGTTCAAGGAAAAGAGTACGACCTGTGAAAATTTCGTGAGGAGTAAGTGGGACAGTTTTTGTGGGAGTCAGGTTAAGGATGTAACATGTTGTTAATACAGCTTCTCCCCAAAACTCCAAAGAGAGATTTGCATGCTCCATCATACGCCTTCCTATTTTTACCAAGGTCATATTCTTTCTCTCAGCTACACCATTTTGCTCAGGAGTATAAGGCATGACGTATTGATGGATGATCTCATTTTCAATGCACAATTCTTTGAAAATGTCAGATGAATATTTTCCCCCTCTATTAGTTCTAAGGACTTTAATTTTCATGTTGGTTTGATTCTCTACCTAGGCCTTATATTCTTTGAATTTTTCTAGAGCTTCTGATTTTGCATGAATAAAGTACACATGGCCATATCGTGAGTAATCATCTAAAAAAGAGATAAAATATCTTTTTCTACTTTTAATGGTCACATTCATAGATCCATTATGAATGATTTCCAATACGCTAGTAGTTCTTTTTGCCCTGGTGATATTTTTCCTTACTAATTTTTCTTGCACACAAGACTCGCATACTTTCAATAAATCTCCCTTATAATTTTGAAGAATCCCATCCTTTTTTAATCTTTCCATTCGTTTGATATTAATGTGTCCTAATCTCATATGTCATAGGGTAGCATCCAATTCATTAGGGGACGCGACATAAACAACATTCTCTTTTATTTCAATAATAAATAGCCCATCTACAAGTCGTCCAGTCATGATTACATCTTTCCCCTTTTTTACCATCACTTTCTCCGCAATAAAAGTGGTTATGAATCCAGTCATGGACATCTTAGAAACCAAAACCAAACACTTCATCATATCAGGAGCATAAAGTGTTTGTTTTAGGATCAAGGTGCTCCCACTCTTCAATTTCAGCTCAAAATCTCCAACTCCAAGAATATCGGTCTTCTGATTTCCTCCCATGTAAATATGTTGTTGTCCTGGCTTCATGGGAGTGAAAGAACGGAAACCATCCTGGGTGTTCGTGACATGGGTCGTAACACCCTAGTCAATACACCAAGAGACTCCCTTTGGGTCAGCCAGCATAGACTCAAAAACCATACATGCCAATTTCTTGTTGGTCCCTCCAGATTTATTGAACCGACAACTATTGGCTATGTGGCCCATCTTCTTGCAAATAAAGCAAGTTCGAGTCTCTCTCCTTGCTCTCTTATTTCTAAAACCCCTCCCTTTGAAATTTCTTTTTTTTCCAAAATAATATCTTCCATTTCCTTTCTTAAATTTAAAAGCGGGAGGAGATTTTACCATATGTGCAACATCTCTTGGAGTTTGCTTTGAATTCCTCATCTCTTCTTCAGATTTAATTGTCGTGATGAGCTCCTCCACTTTTAGTGTCTTTCTTCTAGCAAAGAGAGAAGATATAAAAGTCTCCCATGAATTAGGAAGTGAATTCATAAGATGAATCACTTGCATAGATTCATTATGTTTCATGTCTGTGTCTTATAGCTCTCTGACTAACGTGCCAAAGACGTGCATATGATCTGCAAATTTGGTACCTTATGTCATCTTTAACTCATTATACCTCCTTACCATATAGATTGACTCATACTCGGAAGCATATGAGTCACTCATGGCAAACAAAAGAATGTGTTTGCATCTCAAATTCGTACTCATTTTTGATTTCTTGATATGAGTTGTCAGTTGGACGATAAGGTCGGTCATCAAAGAGTACCTCGTGCAAGTTTTCCGCATAAAGCACAAATTTGATTTTTCTTTTCTATAAAGCAAAGTTAGTCTCATCAAACTTTTCAGCTTTCGGAATCTCTGAGATGAAAGTACGAGCGGCCATACCTTTCTATTCTCAAGCAAAGAAAAATAAGAAAAGACTGCTAATGGCAATCAAGTAAAACCATCTCTAATACCAATGAAAGAAAGACCTATGTGATATTTTGCCAGGGAATACAAATTTTTTTTTTAATGATAATAATTACCCATTTTTTATTTTGGCAAAAAGATCACTTACAGATGGTCTTATTACAATCAATAAATATTTCAAAATAAAACAGCACAACAATAAAATAAAATTCAACCACTTGATGTCATTTATTCAACCTAAAACTATGCTTGAGAATATAAAATAAAAGAGCAAGAAAGTAAAAGAGAAGATGTTGGAGATTACCTCACCCGGGCTTATTACACCCCACACCGAGTCACCACATCTAATGGCACAAGATCAGCAGTCTAGCTTCAATCTCGAACCGAAAACGCTAATTTCAGCCAAACTAGGTAATCACTCTTAAATATCTACAAAACCCTCCAAAATAATTAGGCTCAAATTCTAATTTTCTAAAGCCTGAGAGGAGAGAGAGGGGTGTGGCCCCAAGGGAGAGAGAGAGAGAGGTTATGGGGGAGAGAGAAGTGTGTGGAGATGGGGGAGAGCATTCCTATTTATAGTGAAATTTAGGTTTAGGGTTTCTTTAAGGTTTCCCATAGTTTGCTTCTTTCTTGATATTGAATATTGACCGTTGATCAAGGTGACTTGTGGAGTGAGAGATCTAAGTCATCCATTTCATAGATAGGTCATTAACATTATGGAATGTGCATGAACCATTATCTCCATTTCCTTAAACTATTTTCCCATCAATATATTTAAATAAATTAAATCTATTAAATATATCATGCATTCTATAAAATTGCATTAT